TGCATGCAGGGGGCTCGATCAGCCCTCCTCCGTCTGCCTGCCCCGATGGCTCGTCCTCGCGCTGTGTGGATTACAGCCCTTGTCAGATGGTAGAAACAGGACCCTGGGTGAGCCGCTTACTTCTCCGAGACTCAGCCCCCTCCTTAGAAGACAGCCCTCCTGCCACTAAAAGGCAGGGGTTAGTACTACTCGCTACCCCCCTTCCCTGCTGAAAGGTGAACAAATGGGGGGGGGGATGGGCACAAACCTTCACGCACAAGGGGGACAGGACCAGGGGCAGCAGACCAGAGATGCTGACCATAGCTCTGGAAGGTGCAGTGTGGTCACTGACCCAGGGGATGGGGGGAGCCAACGAGAACCCTGGGAAACCCCAAAACCAGACGCACCAGGCAGTCCTGAGGGCTGAGGGTGCGAACGGGAACCTCAACTCCAAGTCTCCACGTGGAGCTACCAGGTTTTCACTCTCAAGACAGTTGAGACGGTTCTGTCCTCAGAGAACATGGCTCCGCTGAGGGCAATGAGGACGTGTGCACAAAGTGGACGAGGCCTGAATGCAAAGGGTGGGTCCCTTGCCCCATCCGCTTCCTCAACTCAGCCTGCCCAGCTTTTGCCTCCCAGGCTGGAGATGAGAACATTATTCTCCGGGCAAACAGGCCCAGAATCAAAAGGTCCTCATTTGGTGCCTGCCCCTATCACTGCATAAAACTGGCAGGGTCACATCACGTGTCCCATCACCCAGATGGGAGGCCCAGCAGTTTTGAGCCCCATTCCTAAACACAAAAATAGCCAAGGACACTAGACATTTGAGGAGAGCGTCCGACACAAAGGTCAAAGACCAAAGCCAACAGACGAAAGGAGCTCAGGAGGCAGAGATAACGCAGGGAGCAGAAGAAAACTGAAATTAGCATCCCCAGAGAGAAAAGAGGAGATACTCTACCCAATACCAGGAACGGGGGCTCAAAACTAAAAAGGAGAGGGAAGAGCTCCTGACATTCTACAACATGATAAAACAAAAAACCAGAAACAAAAGACCTTCGATAGAGAAGCTCAAGGGTAAAGATTTAAAAAAATAAGTGAAGCTCCTGGAAAGGAGAACAAAAAAAGAGCTGGAAAATTACAAAGAAAATGTGAGGCTCCATCCAGAAGTGCAACATCCTACAACAGGAATTCCAGAATGGCAGGATAAAGTGGAGGGGAAGAAATTATGAAAGAAACATATAAGAAAACTTCCCAGAACCTCAGGACAAAGGATCAGACTCTAGCAGACTTTCCCAAAACAACACTGGAAGCTAGAAGACAGGGGACAACATGCCTTCAAAATTCAGAGGGAGGATGATTTCCAACTTAGAACTGGATTCCCATCAAACTCCAAATGGGTAAAATACTAAAAATATTTGCAGGTAATTTTCAGATTGAAAAAAAAAAAACACAACAAAAAACCAGAACTCTCATGCTTGCTTTGTGCCATGAAGCTCCTGGAAGATATGGACTGACCAAAAACGGAGCGCAAACCACAGACGAGGAAAAAAACGACATCCAGGGAACAGGTGATTCAGCACAAGAGAAGTGAGCAGGTGTGCCAGGATGATGGTAGGAGATGACCAAGAGGCCAGGAAGCAGCCAGACCAGAGCAGGAAGACCAGGGCTCGGGGGAGACCCAGAGCTTACAGATCCGTCCATGTGTCTGATGGCACGGAGAAGGGTTTCTCTCTTCTAGTCAATTAAAGCATTTGGGAATAAATTAATGATAGATATACAGAAAGCAGAGCGAACCCAAAAGCAAGGTAAGCAATAGCCAGAGGAAAATAAAAAGTTACACAGGGAAATGTCGGCCTGGGACACTACAGGGCTCAGCTCTGATCAATATTTACAGACAGGTGATAATGCAAACACTGAACACAGATTGAGAAAAACTGTGGTCTAGTCACAATGAAAAGATGAAGAGAGAATTGTGTGTGTGTGTGTGTGTGTGTGTGTATGGTAGGTATCTTCCATATCTACCTAAGATAGATTCGGGAGGTATCTTCCGTATCTTCCGTATCTACCTAAGATACTTAGGTATCTTCCGATACCTAAGTCAAAGCTTTCTACAACTGGAGGTCACTATGGAACCCTATCTGAAATTGAAAAATCGAGAACCAAGAGTATAAGCATATTTTTAGGTTATTCTAGGGGAAAAAAAAAGTTTAAAGAGTTGAAAATACAATGAACTTGGGAGTGAGGAAGAGTTAGGGCGATTTTGTGTTTCAACTGTGTGCACTAGTACCTGAATAAGAGTAAAATTTAGTTGTAATTTCGTCAAAGAGAAAAACAAATGTTTGCGCGGCGCCCAGTGAGAGCCCAGCTGCCCGGCTCTGCAATCGGGGTCCTCCAGCACAGCCTGGGCTCCTGATTTCCCTTTTGCCCTTCCTGGGTCTTGGGACACCAAGAAGGAAGCGTGGGGTGGGTGGGAGGGGAATGAAGGGGGGGCTCTCTTTTAAGGGAAGCCCCTCCATCCCCAACTCTGCAGGAGCAGGTCCCGTAGATGAAAGGACAAGGGGAGGGGGTCCCAGATGCTGAGCAGAGCTGCAGAAAAGGGCAAGGCGAGGGCCAAGCCCACCAACTCAGACACGAAAAGCTGGTGAACTCTGGGGCAGCCTGAACTCCCCCGCAGCTGCTGTGCTGTTTGTAAACTCCCTGGCAGAGGCGGAGAGGCCAGGGGATAACAGTGTTGCTAGGAGACATGCTTAGCAGGGAGGCAGACTTCTTACCAGGACCTCTAAGTGGACCAAGAGGAAGGTTGAGACAGGCAGGGCCTGAACAAAGAGGCTTCTGGAGTGGGGGGACCCAGCCAACCATCTGCTGCCGCCTCTGGGGCACAGAGTGAGGAGAGTACAGACCGTGCCCCACTGTGCCAGGCACCCCGGTCTTCGGGGCCCCGCAGAGAAGGGGGACCACACAGGAGAGGATCCCCCTTGGCAGGGAACAGCTCTGTGCTTCTGAGGGAATCAGTGGGCAGAGGCTGCTCCTGGGCCCCCATCTGCAATTGGCAATGTGATTGGAAAAGGACTCTCAACACTAGTGTGTGCAGCTCCCCAGAAACCCAGAAGTGTCCCTGGACCCTGCTGCCTCCAGGGACATCAGGCATTAGAGCCCCAGTTCCGCCCAGAGCAGGTCCCCACCTGGCCTCAGTATTCTCACCCGGCAGAGCCAAGCAGGGAACCCAGCTGGGAGGTCGATGAGGCCCCCTGAGAATGTACGGCGCGCAGCAGGTATGTGATGAAGTCCCTATTCATTCAGAAATTCCGGACTGAGTGAGCACCTGGCAGGTGCCTGGCTCTGCGGACATGGGCTCTCTGCCTGTCCCTGCGCCCGCAGAGCTAAGTCCACTCGGGGAGATGACACCAAAGCAGGCACCATGCTGTGCATGCACGCTCACTGCCGCCGTGCTCAGGCCGTGAAGACGTGCGCAGGGTGCCGGGAGAGAAGCGACAGCAGAAGCCGTTCCCGGGAGACACCAGAGTCAGGACAAAGGAGAAGGAGCGGGCCAAGAAGAGCTTTCCAGACACTGGGGAAACACCCGATGGCCCCACTGGAGAAGAGGACAGTATGGCTGGAGGGGCAGGAGAGGGCGAGGCCCGCGGCTGGAGGGGGGCGTGGGGGGCAGTGTGCTCTGGAGGGCGCCTGCATCTCCTGGCCAAGGCCTAAGGCATTTCCCATGCCCCGCGAGGCCTCAGGGATACGCGGGTTCAAAGTGGGACAGGAAGAGAGGCTCCAGCTTCTGTGCGGATGAGCATGCTGCACCCCAATATCCACAGAGCCCAGGGCCTGAGGCAAAGCCCCCCACCCCGGGGTCGGGGAAGACGACAACTGGTCGTGGTCAGGGCTGCCCTGCCTCAACATAGGGAACCGCGACATCTGGTCACTCTACCTGAAGCCAGCAGTGCAGACATGGGAGGAAACAGGAAAATGCATGACCTTGAGAGGAGGAGGGGGATGTCAGAGCAGGGATCTCGAATTCAAGGACCCCTCCTCCCAGCCCTGCTGGCCTGTGCAGGCCCAGGCACTGTGGGCCTGTGACTTGTCTGAAGGGCTCTGGCCTCTCCCTCCTTCACCCGCCCTCCACAGACAGATGTTCTAACCTGCAATTTCCAGTTGTGCCATATTCTTGTGCACCAACAGTAAAAAAGAAAATCTAAATTTCTCCGTGTACCCTGCAAGGCCGTGTACATCCTGTCCTTCCTTCCCAGTGCCATTCCGTCTCTAGCCGCCGGTTTCTCATCTGGCCGGGGCCAGCCCCCAGCCCAGCTCCCCCTACCTCCTGGATTCCTCCCAGGCCCTGTGCATTAGCTCTCCTGGCTGCCTGGGAAGCTCACCCCAGCAGCCTCAGGCTCTAGGTCTCTGCTCCCTGTGTCTGCGGCTGGGCTCCGTGGAGAGCTGCCTGGTCCCGTGGTGACTGGCCAGGCAGGCAGCCGGGGGCTGGCTTTCCTCCTTGCCACCCAGCGCCCAGGCGAGGGCCCGGCCCCTGCTGGGAGCTCAGTACCAGAGCAGCTGATGTCTCCACACCAAACATGGGACCCGAAGCCCACAAAAAGCAGGGAGTTGCCTTCTTGGGTGGCAGAGCAGAGCCTGCTCCCGGGACAAAGCCCTCAGGATTAAGGCACGTGGGGAGGGAGCCTCACCCCTGCCACTGCCTCTCCACGGGCCCTGGATAAGCCCCTGACCCATCTGTACCCGGAGTTTCTGTCTACAAACGGACAACTTCTTTGCTGCTCACCCAGACCAGAGACGCCAGGCTGAGAAATGAGGCACAGGGGGTGGGTCCCTGCTTGCAGGTGTCCCTACGGGTGTCGTGGGAGCCCTGTGGCCAAGTGCTACACACAGGCCGTCACCTGTCAGTGGGGGCCCAGACGGGAACCCTGAAATGGGTAGAGAAGTGCGGGGCAGCCCCCCCTGGAGGAGCCCAGGCCACGGGCCTTCTGGCTCCCGGCGCCCCGCCCCAGCCCGCGCGCCGTCCTCACCCTCGTAGCAGTCCCGCACGGTGCCGAAGTACACGTAGTACTGGTCGTTGGTGAAGAAGAGAAGGCTGAGCCAGGAGTCGAAGGCGTAGATGGGAACGATGAAGAGAATGCGGACGATGTAGCGCTGCTCGTTCGGACAGCTGTAGCAGCGCAGGTGCATGTAGATCTGGGGGCAGACGGGGGCAGGCTCAGCCGGGGACCCTACCGTGGCAGCCCACCTGCCACCTGCCACCCTTCTGCTCCGTGGCTGAGGGGACGGATGGGCGCACTCCGCTGTCTGGCTCTGCCGCTTCCTCGTGCTCTGGCCGTTCCTCAACCCCGAGCCTCAGCCCCTCCTCGGCGACGAAACCCCCACCACGAAGCTGTTCTGAACATCAGGCCAGAGCGGGCAGAAAGCTCGTAGGCTGCGTTCAGGGGGCCCAGGCCGGCGTCACAGACACGGGGGCCATGAGCCCAGGCCCAAGACTCTACGGATCCGAGGCAAGAATGGCCGGGGAATCCAGCGTTGCGACAAGCTCCCTGGGGACCCGTGCGCACAGCCGGTTGGGGAACCTCGGCGAGCGGCACAGAGGAGGCCCTCAACGGATACGCAGGTCTCCTCGCCACCACCCCGGCCTTCCTGACGCCTGGTCCCTGGGGTTTTAGGGCAACAGTGTCCACCCCGTGTGTGGGACAGACGGGACCCTCGCTTCCCCAGAAGGGGAGAGCGCTTCCTGGCAGAGGGGCTACAGTGATGTCATCCCGTGTCTCCCTCTTCATCTGTCCGACGCAGCAGAGCTGCCGGCCTCACCGGGAAGGTGGGAGAATGGAGTGCAGTGTTTAGAAAGCTGGGGGGGGGGGGGACAATAGCAGCCACACACGAATGCCAACAACTGCTCTGGCCACGCTCCTTGGCCCCGGCAGCCAGAGTCCTGTCCCAGCTCTCGTGACTTCACACTCGGCCCCGCCGGAGTCCTGGCCTCAGGAGGAAGAGAACAAAATACTCCCCAGCTGCTGTGAGCCAACTGCCTTGGAAGCAATCGGGTTCGAGGAGGGACGGGGACACAGGGTAGCAGGCGAGGAGCTGATGGGGACCCGAATGGGCTCAGCCGCCCTTCTTCACACCTTCTTGCTCGGGCAGCCGATGCAGGCCCAGCCCACGCCTGCCTTCTCTGGGACCACAAGTACAGGGGGACAAGAGACCCACCCTCTATCCTGGCTCTGCCACCAGTTTGTGCATGACTGGGCCAGCACCCCACCACCTCTAGGTCTCAATTTTTTCCTCTGCAAAGGGGTCACTGACGTCTGTGTGCTCCTGCAGGGCCCCCGTGCAGCTCAGGCTGCACACGTGACCTGTCCTGCCCCACGGAAGTGAGCAGAAGTGGCAAGTGTCACTTCTGGACTGAGGCGATTAAACATCCAGAGTGGCTTCCGCACACTTCCCTCCTCCTAGCTGTCAGATGGATGACGCCCTGAAGCTGCAGGACGTGGGAGCCACCCAGCGGGGCCTGACCTGCGTCAGCCTGGGATGTGGGGAAGAATCAACTTCTACCAGGTGGAGCCCCCAGATTCAGGTTATTACCGCAGCACAGCCTGGCCTGGCCTAATACTCTGTGGGGACTGGAAAACCTCTTAGGATCCTTCCAGAGGGCCTTCTGTGGCTCTCTGACCCAAGGGCCCCGGACTGGCCTGGGTACCTGGTGGCAGGTGATGAGCAGGGCCGTCCAGACGAAGAATCCGGAGATGGCCTGCGCGGCGGTTGTCATCAGGAACACGGGCTGCTCCATGGCCGTGGGGCTGCCCTCAGGGATCACAGACACGCTGGGCGACGCTGCCATGGTCGTAGGCGACGCTGGATCCGGGGCCAGTGCGGCCCCCCTCACCGTCATGGTGCCTGGCAGCCAGGGGTCCCTGAGACAAACCCTTGCGGTAAGCGATGAGCTGGCCTAAAGAGAGGAAACCACAGTGTTAGCCTCCTTCCCAGGCGAGTGGCAGCGTGGCAAACAATCTTCCGGGCCTCTACGTCCACCTTCAGACTGTAACTGGACTCTGACCACATGTGTCCCGGCCCAGCCACTACGATGGTCCCAGCCCCTACCGTGTCTCCCCTGGATTCGTGAAACAGGCGCCTGAGCGGTCTCTCTGCTTCTGCCTTGGCCCCTACTGTCCAGTCCCCACACGGAAGCCACGCAAGGCTTCCAAGACGTTTGCCAGACTGGGCCCCCCTCTGCTCAAAGCTCCCCAGTCGCTGCCAGCTCGTTCGAAGTATAAGCTGCTGTCCGTACAATGGCCCACAAGACTGCCCGGCGGCTCCCCGCGGCTCTCGTCTCCCACGATTCCCACCGGGAGCCTCCACGCAGACCGCGCGGACCTCCTGCAGCTCCTCCACCTCGCCCAGCCTGCTCCTGCCCCTGGGCCTCTGCACCCCTGCACGGGCTGCCGGCCACACAGCTCACGTCTGCACTTCCCTCAGGCTCTGCCCTGACCACCCGCTCCGGCAGGACGACACAGCGCCTACCCCGGGCACTCCCGACCCCGCGGCTCTGGGGCTTTTCCCCACAGCGCTCCTTCCCACCCGCCTCCCTCTGGCAAAGTGTATGTTTACTTATATATTTATTAACTGCCTCCTTCACCAGAACATAAGCTCCCTGAGGGCCCGGGGGCTCCGTTCTGCTCACAGCACCGTTCACACAGCAGGTGCTCAGCAAACACCTGCTGGGTCTGCGCATCTCCACACTTCCCCATCGAGCAAGACCACTTTGTCACTTTCTCTCTGCAGAAGGCTGTGCCTTTTCTTTCCCGTTTCTCCCCAACTTCCCTGAGGGTCGGCCCCCGTTCTTCATCATCCATCTGTGCTGTTTTGGAGACTCTGTGGCCCACCTTGTGTGCCTTCAAATTGCTCTTTTAATTCAGTTTTCTGTATCCCTCTTCCTAAAAGCCTGCCCCCTACGCTTCCCCCAAGCAGAGACTTCTATCCACATCACACGCCGCTGTGCTTCTATGTGACGGGTGGCTCTGGCCCTTGTCCCTTGTGTGTTCATCCGCCGGAGGCTGTCCGCTCTCTGAGGCAAGACCGCATTTCTGTCTTTCAATCCCCGGCACCAAGCTTAAAAAATTAGAGGTATTTCACAGAGAAGCACACAGAGATGAGGAAACTGGCATACAGAGATTCTGGGTGGGAAAATAACAATGGGAGCGGGTGGGACACAGCCTGGCCTTCTGGGGTCCTAGGGTCCCATCCAGTTGCCCCACGCGGCTCTCTGTCCACTGCTTTTCCCAATGGCAACTTCAAGAGCCATGGTTAACAAATGAACAATTTCACATTAAAAATGAACCCAGATGCCCCCAAGGAAGGGCTGCTGTCAAAGTAGTAAAGTGACTCCTGGGAGGCTGGTCACTGCTGTGCCCAAGGCCATCCAAGCCCCACGGCCCTGAGAGATGTCCCTTTCAGTTCTGCCAGCTACCAACGGGCTGGTCAGCACCACCCCGGAGGCTCTGGGAGACTAAGCTGCAGGGTGACCAGAGGATCCGCTGACTGTGAGGCAGAGAGTGTGGACACCGGGGAGGGCGCTCTGGCTGCAGCCCAGGTCCCAGCTCCACCACCAACCAGCCGTGTGTCCCCACACAGCTCTGTTGGGCCCTGGAGGGTCTCTGCCAGCCTGACCCAGAAAACAGCCAAGCCTCCAAACCTAACCATCTCAGCCTGAGCCCGAGGTCAGGCCAGATGACCTCTCACGGTCCCTTCCAAGCCCCAGATGATATTCTCAGCCAGAATGTACTGGCTTCTGGGGTACACCCAGGCCCACAGCCTGACCCTGGATGAAGAAGCTCTTTGCCTACTGTGTCCCCAGGCTCCTGGCTTTGCCCCTGGCCCCCCTCTCACGTCTCCAGCATGGGGCTGGAGAAGTTTCCATCCCCTGTCCCCATCTGCACATCTGCTCTTAGCTGTAAGTTGTGACCCTAGGAGAGCCCTTTGCATTTCTATTTTCCTGTGAAAATAAGTGATCTCTAACACACTGACCAAGAGATGAATCTCGATTTAAAATCCAAAGTGGAGAAGGCATCTATATAAAGAAACTCAAAACTGGAGAAGGCGTCTATATAAAGACTGGTGGCGAGCTCTGAGAAAGAACCAGTGACAAGTCTAAGAATAGCTCCTGTAAGGGTGGTTGCAAAATCGGAAACCAGTGCCAGAAATACTTCTTTAAAAAAGAAGATTTGGGTTGTAAATCATCATCTTTGTCTATCATCCCAAATTAAATGAATAAACACAGGCAATTGGGGGGGGTGCCTAGAGGAAGTACAAATCCTCCTAAATCTCCAGCTTCCAAGCACAGGCAGGCCGGTGTGTCAAAGGCTGTTCTGTTCGCCACTGAAGGCAGTGTTGGGAGGCCTGGCCCAGGGGCACTGCTGAGCTGACCCTGCCCACGGGGAGGGGACCTGTGCCCAGGAGGCTCCTCGGCTGTGGAAGCTGAGTGAAGGCTAGAGGCCTGGCTTCTTCCTAGGGCTCTGCTCACTGCCACTCAAGCGCCACACCTCCCCCCAAGCCCAGAGAGACACTGGCATGCAGAGTTCTCTTGCATTTTCCCCATGTAGGTCAATTAGCTTACGGGCAAGAGAGCCATCAGAGAGGGTGGGTAACTTGCCCCGAAATCAGGGATGGGACTCGAACTCAGGTCCTATAAACACATTGTCAGTCCCACGCGAGCGGCCCCTCCCGCTCCAGAGCCTCCTTCCAAGAGCCAGTCCTGTCCTAGCAGGCCCGAGACCCTCGTTGCAGAAAGGGGAGGGAGGTCCTCTGCAGGGAGGGGCAGCCGATGCTGGAAGGGACCTCCGGCCTGACAGTGCTCACCAGGCTTCTGGGTTTACTAGCTCTTTACCTGACTCCAGGCAGCGCTCCTGGCTTACACACTGTTTTCCCAAGCATCATCTCGTGTTGTTTTTACACAGCAACTTTGAACTAAGTAATATTAACTGCATCTGAGAGATGAGGAAAATGATGTGGAGATTGGTTTTACCAGCCCCCAGGTAACACCAAATGATTCGAGGATTTTCATAACACCCCCCCCCAAAATACGTGAAGCAACATTCTGACTCATGGACGCATGGCCCCTGGCATGAAAGAACAGCAGGTGAGGACAGCATCTCCGAGGCTGTCGATCCCGGGGGCTCGCCTTGCTCCCAGGGCCCAGGGCAGCACACAATGCTGGACCCTGCCGACTGTTCACAGCGTGTGTGCTGGGGGCGGGGGATGGACACTGGGGTCCTGCCCTCTCACACTTGGGCGGCATCAACGGCCTTGGCCAAGGCTGGGGGAAGGTCAGGGAAGGCTTCAAAGTGGCAGGGACTTTGGGGCAGGGTGTTTAAGTAGCATAACCAAGCTTCAGCTTTGAGGCCACCCAACAGGATTCCTGCCAGACCCCACCATCTGCGAGCTTGGACAAGTGACTTCATCTCTAAGAACCTCAGTTTCCCCATCGGTAATACTTCAGGGTAATTACAGAATGGCTGAGGGTGTGTTCTACTTTACAGAAGTCCTGTTAATGAATAGACAGAATAATAAAATAAACAGAATAAGAATGATCATTTTGCAACTCCTAATACAAATACTGGATATAGATATCGATATGATAAAACCCCTAGCTAAAAGGCAGTCTGGGCAAGTCCAACTCTGAACGCACAGTCAAGATCAACATCACCAACATGGGGCTGCGAGAAGTTTCCAGCCTCCTGATGGGATGCACATGGCACCACCTAAGAAGGGACTCTTGCCCAAAAGTGAAATGGGATCAAAACGAGCCTCCAGAGCTACTACCGGTAGCCAGGAAATACAGAGGGTAGTGGGACAGACTAAATGATATCATGAGGACACAGCAGCCGAACCTAGACTACGGGACAGTCCATAGGACAAACGATCTAGTTTCACCAACAAATCAGCGGCTTCTAAACAAAGGTGCTTGAGGGGCTGTTACAGAATAAAGACTCCAGAGACATAACTAAATGCAACATGTGCACTTTGTTGGGTCCTGATGCTAACAAACCAATGATGAAAAGACATCTTTGAGACAGATAACACACAGGAATTCTTGTCAGTTTCATTAGGCGTGATCATGGCATAGCGGGTATATAAACGTCCCTCTCAAGGGAGGAAGAATCATCTTTTCGATAAACAGGACTGGAACAACTGGACATCCAGAGGCAAAAAAGAATGAACCTTAACCTATACCTTTACACCATATACAAAAATTAATTCTAAATGGATCACAGATTTAAATGTAAAATGCAAGACTATAAACTTTTAGAAGACACATACCTAACAAATGGCGAGCATCTAGAATACAGCAAGAATGCTCAAGCTCAACAGTAAAAAGATAATACAATTAGAAAATGGGCAAAAGGGGCGCCTGGGTGGCTCAGTTGGCTAAGCGACTGCCTTCGGCTCAGGTCATGATCCCAGGGTCCTGAGATCGAGCCCTGCATCGGGCTCCCTGCTCGGCGGGAAGCCTGCTTCTCCCTCTCCCGCTCCCCCTGCTTGTGTTCCCTCTCTCTCTGTCTCTCTCTCTCTGTCAATTAAATAAATAAAATCTTTAAAAAAAAAAAAGGGCAAAAAACATGAATGGACATTCCACTCAAGGAGGATACATGGACAATAAACACATAAACAGCAGTTCAACATTGTTAGCAATTAGGGAAATGCAAACTAAAACCACAAGACATCACTATATACATATTAATACAAAATAGAGACAACATCAAAAGCTGGCAAAAGGTGCAGGGAAACTGGCTCTTGCGTTCATTCCTGGTAGGAATATAAAATGGTAGAGCCACTCTGGAAAACAGTTTGGTACTTTCTTACAAAACTAACACACCATTTACCATACAACCCAGTAATCACTCTTAGACGTTTATCCTACAGAAATGAAAACGTATGCTCACACAAAACCCT